GGGCTTGCGGCAACCACATGTGACGACCCCGGGCTGGACTCCGCTTCGTCCACGGTGAAAGCCGATCCGGTGATCCACAGCACAAAGTTGTTGTATTTCCTCAGCAACCAGCACGGATCAGCTCCAGGCATGACGAAGCAGATATCGTCCTCTTTTGGAAGGCCAAACAAAGTCGTTTTGTGTTTTGAAGATGAATGAAAGTCTTAAGGGTTTGGAATGACATAAATAGGACAGTTTTCATTTTTGGGTGAACCATCGCTTTAAGTTATTCCTTTTAGCAGATAAATATCCTTGTCAGCCTTGTGTCTGGGAAACTTCCCAGGCAAAAGAACATTTGAAATACATTTATGGATGTCCATGTATATTCTTACAAGAATCATTCTTACAATTATTGTCCACAGTTGCTGATGAGACACAAGACAGTTTGCACACAGGCAATGAAATGGAGCAAAGTACTGAGGAGTTTTTACTGACAGACTGTGACTACGATGTTTTACCATCTCGAAAACGTGTGTATAATGATTTTTTTTTTTTTCTGGGAATACTTTTAAAAATTTAATATGGTATATTAACATAGTATGTTCACATGTCTGCATTTAGGTTTGCCTTGCCTACTGTATAATACTGATTCATTGGTAAAATGATTGTATATTGCTTTAATCTGTTAAAACAATAATTGATTGATGATTATTTCTAATGATTAATTGCAGTTGCTGAAGAAGCCATCTATGACACTCCCCCTTCCAAATGGTCAACCAATTTGGGAGAACATGGTGGGCCTAAGTCTCCGCCAACTCGCATTATAAATTTACACTGTAAAAGTTACATATATTCAGCCCAGTGTGCTGTGATTGTTCTCCATTTACAGAAGTGACTGATAGCATCTATGATTTCCCAAACCCTGTGATTAGGAAATTGACTGAACATACAATTGGTAAGATCTTGAAAATTACAGGATGACTCCTCATTATGTACCTGAAAATGAAATGTATTTACCAAACCAGTGGTTGTTTTTTCTTTTTTGCAGAATCTCACAGCAGTAGTGAGAGGCCTGAGAGTGGTGGTCTTCTGAGTGACATGATAGCCTGTTTGGACAGTGAATCTGCTGCCTGGGTCAAACCTGCTCCTCCGTGAACCTCATGGGTCAATTTGAGCAAGACTGAGACAAAGAAAAAGATGGAGCTCTTCACGGATTTGCGTGTCATCTTTCGCAGGGGCCATGCTAATCTTCTCTGTATCGATCCAATTTTAGTATATGTGCCGCTTGTTGCAGGAAACCTTAATTTTGTTTATGATAAATTCGTTTTCCATCCAAACTGTCATCACTTATGTAGAACAATGACTGTTCATTGTGGAATTTCAAACTGTCCCTAATCATCTAAGCTAAACAGGGAAGTGTCAATAACATGTCTTTTGTCCAGTCACAATTCAAAATAAATTTTAATCAAACAAATTAACCTTTGGATAGAATGTTTAAACCTGCTGTTTCACACAAATCTATTTATAAGTCTACTTATAAATGGGGAAATGGGACCTGTTAAAGGGTTAGTTCACCCAAAAATGAAAATTCTGTCATTAATTACTCACCCTCGTGTTGTTCCAAACCAGTAAGACCTTCGTTCATCTACGGAACACAATTTAAGATATTTCTGATGAAATATGACCCTCCCATAGACAGCAAGGTAACTACCACGTTCAAGGTCCAGAAAAGTACCAAGATGATCGACAAAGTAGTCCGTGTGACATCAGTGGTTCAACTGTAAAGTTACGAAGCTACGAGAATACTTTTTTGCGCAAAGAAAACAAAAATAACGACTTTATTCCACATTTTCGTCTCTACTGCGTCAATTGTGGACACGCGTTCACGACAGTATCATGACGCGCCACACGCTCGCGTCATGATACTGTCGTGAAGATTGTCCGAAGATGAACGAAGGTCTTACGGGTTTGGAACAACACGAGGGTGAGTAATTAATGACAGAATTTTTATTTTTGGGTGAACTAACCCTTTAAGCCATGTGAAGAGAACATAGTTAACATGAGAAGTACTTATTTGACCTTCTAATGACCAGTTTACCAGCATCCACACAAAACTCTGATAACATTACAAACCAACTTTACCTCATATGTGTAATACTGGCCCCTGAGGTGAGCAATCTTGTCCTTCTATATGACATGTTAAGGTGAAAGCCCCTACAGACAATGAGGTGTCCTTACATGATACTGAAGGGCTTGGGTTAAAGCTTGTCCTACTGTAAGTCAAAGTATCTAAAATTGAGAAGAGTGGGATTTCTTTTTTTTACGGTGGACAGGGTGGACATTCTGATCTAAAATCAGCCAATGCACTATGTCTGAGCAAAAAGAAGCTAGCACAGAAGGGTTATCAAATAAAGATTGCATAGTTTTTAAAATTGTAATTTTAAAAATGTGAGTTTTCTACTATTTTTTTTAACCGCCCTCATCTGGTGATCAGTGATCTTTAAAAGTGTGAGGATGTCACATCCTCAGGATTGGAGTGAGCCAATGAGGAATGGCACCTTTGGATGGAAATGTTACGATAT